TTTCAACTGATGTATTTATTGCTCGTAAATTTTAATCTTTTAAAGATAGAATTCAAAAATTTAAAAGCCTAATTAGTGAAGAACTTCTCGAATTGCTTCCTCTTCTACAGCATAACACTTCATTAGCTGGCAATAAATATACTATCTCTCACATGTAAATTTTCACTTCCTCAATAATTTATAGAGTTTTGGAAAGTTATCGTTTAAAATTTAAAGAAAAGCTAAGTAGCAATTAACCAGCCGCTTCATATGTTACACATTTTTAGCAATTGCCCACCGTTTTCTCTCGATGTGCTCTTGCGAAATTTTACAACAATCCGTTTTCTTTCTTGTTTGATAATTATTTGCTAGTAGTGGTGTTTGTAGCATCCTTGCATTTCTTATATTAATTTCAAAATTTTACTTTTGAACTTTGAGAGAGCCGATTAGAAGGAAAGAGAGAGGGAGAAGATGCAAAAGAAAGAATGAACTTATGGAATCCTTACAAATTAGTAATATATCAATTAATAAAAGTTTGTTTAGTATATATATAATGTTCTTTTGATATAAAATTTCAAATTTTATGCAAAAGTTTTTTGTGATAATAATAATTAATAATGTTATTGAAGAAAAAGAATAATATTAAACTAAACAAACGAGCAATTTATATATATGTGTGTATGTGTGTGTGTGTGTGTGTGTGTGTGTGTGTGTGTGTGTGTGTGTGTGTGTGTGTGAGTGTATGTACTTGTCTGTCAACCTATGCTTTCAATTTCACAACAAATTTCCGTTTTCTAACAATATTGCCGCAAGATACAGTGGAGAAATGTTGGCTTTCTGGAAAATCGTTGAAATTAACATCTCTTGAAAATTTTGTTGAGTTTTTCGCAGTAATATCTTAATTGATCATCTTTGATATACTTTATTCTGCAAATTCATTTGTGATATTCGTTATGTTTAGCTATTGAAGTAATTACTAAATGATACACAACAACTACAATTTTTAATTAAGCAAAAATGGTATAAACAAGCAAAATTATCAGTTGTTTAAATTTTTTCGCTAAATTTTAAGTGTTAAAATTTAGAATTGCTTTTTTTGATCACTAAAGATTAATATTCTTTTGAAGTACAATGCTCAATTTTGCAAATTTCAATTGATATCTATTACATTTATTTTGAGAGTTTTTTTTTTATTAAAAAAAAATGCATGCGAGAAATGAATTAAGTAGATCTTCGAATTTGAAGAATTTAGTTTTCAAAATGCTCAATTGCTTTCTGTTTAACTCTTCCAATTTTTCCTGTTGCTTTTTTATGCTAATAACAAAAGCTACTTTTATTCTTATTAGATAAAATTATTTACATGTTAAAAAACATCGATTTCTAAATCTTCCATTTTCCACTTTTTTCTCTTTTTCTCTATTTCTCCCTCTTTCTCTCTATATGTATTTCTCTCTACACGAGAGAGAGAGACAGAAGGAGAGATAGGGAGAGATAGGGAGAAAGATATATATATATATATATCTTACAATTTCCAAAGAAAATGATTAATAATAATAATGACATTTCGAGATTATAGTATAATATTGAAATTAACCTAAAAATTTTGATTCACTTTTGGATAAAAATCTTTTCTTTCTTGAACAAATTTTTCATTAACACCTGAGCACACACACACACACACACACACACACACACACACA